ATATCCAATCTTTCTCGAGAAAGACGTTATTTTGGCGAGCAGTTATACGTCTCCCATGCAACATCCGTTAAGTATCCGATTGACAACAAATTTGGTGAGCTTTCATCTTTCATCTTTCATATAAACGAACTTAACTCTTAAGTAGCATGTTAAAAATCATATCAAAATCCTAACTTCAAAGGTTATAGCCTTAGCCTTGGGCCTTACCCGGCCCTCTTCGAACTTATCTTCGACACTCGTGTTGCTTCATTCTTTCAAACTTGTGTATGCCTCGGCTTTGCTCTATTTTCCAACTATTCCCAATGATTTTAAGCTTAAAATGGTGGGGCTATAATTTCCTATGAAAATAAAATGAAATCTTTACCTAGGCTAGTTACCCAACTTAATTAAGGCAGATCAGCTAGCTATATGTCTAATTTTGTAGGACCTCTACTTAGACACGCAATCAAGCACAATTGTTTCATTTTAGGTTGAGTCTGTCGTACAGACGTGTCAAATATGGATACATCCAAACATGTTCCTTTGGGAGCTACATCCTTTATTAAAATAAACATCTGGATCACTCTTTTAATTATAAAAACAAGGTAATTTAGGTCTAGTGGCCTAACATCTATATAATGAATAGTTGTATGTGTCTAGCAAAATTTAACATTATTCTTTTTTGTAAGTTATCACATTAAAAAAAAAAAAATTACAATCAAAGGCTGGAATAACTCAATTAGTTAGTATGGGGTTGTTAACCAAAAGCTTGAAGCTTCAAGCCCTTTTTCTAACATTATTTTCAACTTTTGACAATTCTAACCTCAACGTTGTAAGGGAAGAGAAAACTCGTAGAACATGAATGGACCTCCAAATTCATGTCAGTAACAAATCTTGAAACTCAACCATAACCTCAAAAAATAACACACAACAATGAGTCTACTTAACGTCACTCTCATTTGAATCACAAAAAACTATATATACAAAAATGCTCTTGTAACAACCCGGGAAAGAAAGAAAAATATATATATATATATACATATAATAAAAATAAATAAATAAATAAATCAAATAATAAAATAAAGTATATAAAAAAATAAAATTAAAAAAAAAAAAACTCAGTCACCGAAAAACCCGCGAGTTTTCCGGCGACTGCCGAGTTTCGCGGAACCCACGCGAAACGACGGCCACAGCACGCCCAGCCCTCAGTCCACGACACCCAGCATCTTTAGAACACCTGCAAAGGGAGAAAAGAGAGAAAATTTTGAGAGAGAGAGAGAGAGAGAGATTTCGGACAAACGTTGGCGAGTGTCCAGTTTCTCCGACGAGCCCTCAACCCACCCTCAAACCGACACTAAACGACCTGTTACCACCATAAGAGGGATCCCTAACGAAAGCACAATAACTCAGGGTGCGTTTTGTGTTATTTCGTAAGCGTCGTTGTCGGTAACCGAGGTCGGAAAAATTAGGTTTCTTAATCGATTCTTAGATCTATGGCTTTTAGGAGCTTTTACGAGCTTTTAGGCCACAAAACTCCCAGAAAAGAAAGAAGGACGACGAACAAAGAGGAATAGGGAAGGAAGAGGACCGAAATTGGCAACAGAAACGCCGCGGGAAAGAGAGAGAAAGTTCGCCGGAAAATCGACCGAAGTCGGGTAAGGAAGACGAGATCCAAGGATCTGGGCCAATCCGAACCCAGAACCTGGGAGAGCCAGCCCGTTCCTCCCTTAGCCTCTGCCTTCGGCCCAGCCCAACTATAGCGGCCCAAACCTCAAACTGGCCCAGAAGCTACGGTTCAGTTGAACCAACCCAGACTAGACCCACGGTCCAATCGAGTCGGCCTGCAAACCAAACTTCTGCGGCCCAACCCAGTAAGCCGAGGCCCAATGATTAGTCTTGGCCCAGTAGCCTTCCACAGCCCACGACCCGAACCACGACCCGAACCGGACTACGACCCACGCTTCGACCCGACACTGTCGCCCGATGTGGCTTTCTCTGCTGCTGCCACGTGTCACACAACGGCGCAGGCAGTCCCTCGGCTCAGCTCGGTGCAAACGGCTCGGGCTCCCTCCGGCGATGCTCCGGTGGCTCCTCCGGCGGCTCTAGCGGCTGTTCGGCTCGGCTCACCTGTTTTCAGCCTGGTTTCCACTGTTTCGACCCTCCCGAATCTATTTTCAGCCCTGATTAAGGTATCTGAGGCCGTTTTAGAGTCGTATTTCACATTTATTAAATTATAGGTAAATTAATTGTGAAATACTAACGGAAAGTGGTGGACGGTGTGATAGGAAACAAACCCTGGGGACGTAGGGAACAGCTCTCACTGAACGGGAGCTTACGTTTAGCGATTTAGGGAGTACTTCGACCAAGGCCAACCAAGTAAGTAGCCTTACTATAGGATAGGCTAAATAAATTGTATGATGCTTGATGTTATGTGTCAGTATATACATATTTTGTTGAGTGACGCTTGATATGTTTGACGCACGTTGTGGCATTATGATGAGCATGATGATTGCATGATTTTTACTTTAATATGATGATGTTTTCCATATTGAGCATGCTAGATGATGATGAGTGCCATATTACATCATGTCGTTAGATCGACGTAGGACACAACCCTATGAGCATGAAAATGATAGTAATATAAATATCCACGAGTATGCGTTACCTAGAGTAACAAAGAGATGAGACTAGAGGGTTGTGTCAGAAGAGACATTACGATGGATTTAGAGGGACCTCATGCATTTTGCATGTTCATAAGCATAGGGCTACTTCCCCTAGAGATGATGAGTGCGGACGCGCACCTTACGATGAGTGCGAATGTGCATAGGTGCGAAAGCACACAGATGAGGGTGTTCATGAGGCGCATGACACTATGGGGTTCCGCTGACCTCCGGACGTCGCTACAGATTAACTTGACCAGAGGGTCTAGGGGGTGTGCGAGCGCCCTGGGGACTCACATTCGCACGTGTGAGTCGTGTGTAGGGAAGTACTACACATCCAATTTGTCCGAGACGGGAGGCCACCCCTAAGATGATTAGAGATAGGTCCCTATTCATGATTGCATGTGTTTGCATTAGCATGGCCCCTATAGTGGGGTCACTTACTGAGTATTTCTAGCCGTATGCCATATTGTTTTTTTTTTCAGGTAAAGGCAAGGCGCCCATGTACGGTTGACGGTGGCATCGTGATCAGAGACTGTGGCGCGTGCATAGGATAGTTGCATATTTAATTCCTAGTCTTGGTTATGATAGGGCGTTTGCATTTCATTCATTTATATTAATTAATTTGTAATCGTTTTATTTTATCTTTTTGAACTCTAGCACAATGTTTGAAACACGTAAGTCCGGCAGTGTTTTCCAATGTTTTAATGTATTCTGAAGTTTTAAATTTTTCCGCTAATGAAGATGAGCATGCTTAGATTTTTATTCTGCATTAGAGATGAGCATGAGACGTTAGTGGCGACTCTAGATATGTGAAAATTTAGGGTCGTTACAGCTCTTATTTGAAACCTACTTGTACAACTCTCCTCAAATCTTATATCTTATTCAACCTTAGCAAGGTTATGTGTTATATCTCAGCCATTAGTTTAATTGAATCTCATCCCTCCTACACAAATTGTGTAATTCACCTACTCAAAGTTAGTTGGAGTTCTAGGTGCACTTATTAATTGATCTCTAATCTCTTTAGTTGGGCTCTCAGGAGGATCTAATAGTATGGATAAAATCTTCCTATTAGCAACCTCTATAGGGTCTCTCTATTAAAAAACTTCTACGCCTCCTTAATTGGTTGCATACATCTCTACTACTAAACACAATTGAAGCTCCCTTAGTAGCAGCACCTTTTAATAGACCACAGACCTAAATAGGTTATGTCATATTCCTCTATACTTAGTAGACCCTCATTAGTCAAGATAAGTTCATAATCAGTTGTCGAACCCTAATCGTCCCTACATAGTACTAGCCAACCATATGATCATAATCGACTACATTGGTTCAAAGATAAAAAAAATATATATATAGTAAGCCAAAGGCTAATGCTCACTAAACATGCAAATATTATTATGAGCGTACAGAATAATTCAACCACATCTAGGTGATAGAGTCATTTATACTTTTCCAGGAGTCTCAACTTCAATCAGAGCAATTAGATTCAAAATTAGAGTCGCAGAAGTCCTTATACGTAGATACTAGCTACATCGATCAACTTTCCATTTTACTGAGTTTAGTCTTAAATTTTTGGGCTAAATCACTCGTAGGATAATCTTATAGTCATTTTTTTTTTCAAAATCCTAGATTATTCCTACAAGTATTTTTTTCAAAAAATATTCAAATAGTTACTTAATTGCTCTAACACGAACTTGGTTGGTTCCCTCTGAGAATATTTGATAAAACCAACTTTCTATGAGAATATTGGGTAAAACCACCCCACCTAGATGCGGTGAAAATTCTCTGTATATAATCATTTAGATAATCAAATAAATTACCAAGAATACATAACAAACAATAAATGTAAAGAGAAATAAATTGATACAATATATTTGCCTACAATAAAAGGCAAATATGATACTTATGGTAAGTCACAAGGGAAGACAAATATCTAGATATTTGACTATAATAAATGATCAAATATAGTACCTATGGTAAACCGTAATAGAAAGTTAAATATCCTCAATCATATAAGATATTTGTCTGTAATAAAGGGTCAATGTAACGACCCTAAATTTTCACATATCTAGAGTCGCCACTAACGTCTTGTGCTTATCTCTAATGCAGAATAAAAATCTAAGCATGTTCATCTTTATTAGCGGAAAAATTTAAAATTTCAGGATACATTAAAATAGTGGAAAACACTGCCGGACTTACGTGTTTGAAACATCGTGCTGGAGTTCAAAAGATAAAATAAAACGATTACAAATTAATTAATCTAAGTGAATGAAATGCAAACGCCCTATCCTAACCAATACTAGGAATTAAATATGCAACTATCCTATGCACGCGCCACAGTCTCTGATCACGATGCCACCGTCAACCATACATGGGCGCCTTGCCTTTACCTGAAAAAAAAACAATATGGCACACGGCAAGAAATACTCAGTAAGTGACCCCACTATAGGGGCCATGCTAATGCAAACACATGCAATCATGAGTAGGGACCTATCTCTAATCATCTTAGGGGTGGCCTCCCGTCTCGGACAAATTGGATGTGTAGTACTTCCCTACACACGACTCACACGTGCGAATGTGAGTCCCCAGGGCGCTCGCACACCCCCTGGACCCTCTGGTCAAGCTAATCTGTAGCGACGTCCGGAGGTCAGCGGAACCCCATAGTGTCATGCGCCTCATGAACACCCTCATCTGTGTGCTTTCGCACCTGTGCGCATTCGCGCTCATCGTAAGGTGCGCGTCCGCAACCATCATCTCTAGGGGAAGTAGCCCTATGCTTATGAACATACAAAATGCATGAGGTCCCTCTAAATCCATCGTAATGTCTCTTCTGACACAACCCTCTAGTCTCATCTCTTTGTTACTCTAGGTAATGCATACTCATGGATATATATATTACTATCATTTTCATGCTCATAGGGTTGTGTCCTACGTCGATCTAACGACATGATGCAATATGGCACTCATCATCATCTAGCATGCTCAATATGGAAAACATCATCATATTAAGGTAAAAATCATGCAATCATCATGCTCATCATAATGCCACAACGTGCGTCAAACATATCAAGCGTCACTCAATAAAATATGTATATACTGGCACATAACATCACGCATCATACAATTTATTTAGTCTGTCCTATAGTAAGGCCACTTACTTGGTTGGCCTTGGCCGAAGTACTCCCTAAATCGCTAAACGTAAGCTCCCATTCCGTGAGAGCTGCTCCCTACGTCCCCGGGGTTTCTTTCCTATCACACCGTCCACCACTTTACGTTAGTACTCGGATACCTTAATCGGGGCTGAAAACAGATTCAGGAGGGTCGGAACAGTGGAAACCAGGCTGAAAACAAGTGAGCCAAGCCCAACAGCTGCTGGAGCCGCCGGAGCGTCGCTGGAGGGAGCCCGAGCCGTTTGCACCGAGCCAAGCCGAGGGACTGCCTGCGCCGCTGTGTGACACGTGATAGTAGCAGAGGAAGCCACGTCAGGCGGTAGTGTCGGGTCGAAGCGCGGGTCGCAGCCCGGTTCGGGTCGTGGTTCGGGTCGTGGGCTGTGGAAGGCTACTAGGCCAAGACTAGTCCTTGGGCCTCGGCTTACTGGGCTGGGGCGCAGGAGTTTGGTTTGCAGGCCGGCTCAATTGGACCGTGGGTCTGGTCTGGGTTGGTTCAACTGAACCGTAGCTTCTGGGCCGGTTTGAGGTTTGGGTCGCTGTAGTTGGGCTGGGCCGAAGGCAAAGGCCAAGGGAGGAACGGGCTGGCTCTCCCGGGTTCTGGGTTCGGGTTGACCCGGATCCGTGGATCTCGTCTTCCTTACCCGACTTCGGCCGATTTTCCGGCGAGCTTTCTCTCTCTTTCCCGCGGCGTTTCCGTTGCCGATTTCGGTCCTCTTCCTTCCCCTTTCCTCTTTGTTCGTCGTCCTTCTTTCTTTTCTGGGAGTTTTGCGGCCTAAAAGCTCCTAAAAGCCATAGATCTAAGAATCGATTAAGGAACCTAATTTTTCCGACCTCGGTTACCGACGACGACGCTTACGAAATAACACAAAACGCACCTTGAGTTATTGTGCTTTCGTTAGGGATCCCTCTTATGGTGGTAACAGGTCGTTTGGTGTTGGTTTAAGGGTGGTTTGAGGGCTCGTCGGAGAAACTGGACACTCGCCGACGTTTGTACGAAATCTCTCTCTCTCTCTCGAAATTTTCTCTCTTTTCTCCCTTTGCAGGTGTTCTGAAACTTGCAGGGTGTCGTGGGCTGAGGGTGGGCATGCTGTGGCCGTCGTTTCGCGTGGGTTCCGCGAAACTCGGCGGTCGCCGGAAAACTCGCGGGTTTTCCGGCGACTGAG